CCACTTTCTCCTATTATATGTGGGTAGACTTTATCTCCTTATGAATGAAGGATCTTTCATTACTCAGAAATAGAATTCAAGGTGATTTAGATATAACACCCTTCTGTTTCAAAGAGAATTGTGCACTTATTCATCTTATGCTGCTGCAGCTGTTATCTATAACAGGAAATGAAATAAAATTGCGAAAGAGTAGAAGGAATTCTTTAGATGCCGTCTGATCAAGGGTCTTTAACTATTGTGTCTCCAGGTCTTCATTGCTATAAAGCCACAACTTACTTTAAATATATAACTATTAGTATCCAATCTGGCAATTTAAAAAACCCCAAACTTCTTAACAAGATTACTAAGAGGAAATTAATAAGTCTAAAAATGTTTTAATGAGCTGTATTGGATTTAAGAAAGAATTGTATCAAAAGATGAAGATTGAATTTGTAACACAATTAACAAGGATGAAGAAGATATGTCATAGAGAAGCGATCAAGAGATTTTCTAAACACATATACACAGGTAGCACAGTTCTTAAGTGCCAGCATACTAACTGAAAGTTTGGTGTTAAAATCTACCAGACGCTTCATGGGAGAAAAACAATTCCCTCCCTTAACATAGCCTCAGGATTATAATGAAGTGTTTCTACAAGTCAGTGGTGGCTCAACAGCATTGGAGAATTTGTGTAATCTCATTGGTTTTCAAAGACTTACTACAAGAATAATGATTTTGGATTATACTCTCAAGTTTTCATAGTCTAGATAATTATTTAGAATCAAAGACTTGTATTTCACCAAGCTCAAATAGTTTTGAAACAATAGAGGTGGTTGTAGTTGTTGTTGGTATGTGCCGTCGAGTCACCTGTGACTCATAGCAACCATATGTACAACTTCCTAAACCCTGCTCTATCCTGTGCCAATCACATTGTCTTTGAAACAACTATTCCCATTACCCCAGTCACTGAATCAATCCACCTCATAAAGGGTTTTCCTCTCCTTTGTTGTCCCTCCACTCTCCCGAGCATGACGTCCTTCACCAAGGACTGGTCTCTCCTTGCAACATGTCCAAAGTATGCCAGACGTAGCTTCAGAATCTTTGTCTCCAAGGAGCAGCCTGGTTTAACCCTTTCCAGGTTGAAACTCTTTATTCTCTTAGAGTCCATGGTATATTCAATACTTTTCTCTGGCACAATGGCTTAAAGGCATCAATTCTCCTTCTATCATCCCTAGTCATTGTCTAGTTCTCTGATCTATAGCAAATAATTGCAAATACCATGGCCTGTATTTGGTGCACCTTAGTCTCCAAGGCCCTGGAATGGGAGCCCACGTGGTTTCCCCGAGCCTTTGGCAGTGACCTGCGGGGTTTGGGTCACAGATGTTGACAGGGTGTGGGAGGAGATGTGGAGCTGGAGGAGACAGAGCCTACAACAAGAAGTTATTTTGCCTCACCAAGCTGGACCAAAGATATGAAGCTATGTAGATCAAGGCCTTGGAGGAGATCTATCTCTTCTCATTGCTCATCAAGGATCCTGAGATTATTGACTTCTTCCTGGGAATGAACCTCAAGATAAGGTTGCAAATAATGCCTGAGCAGAAGCAGGGCCATGCTGGTCAGTGGATGAGATTCAATGTTCAGACTCACTGGTTCAAGGTCATAACTGGAAACTATAATGACCATGTTGATTTGGACTTAAGTACTTCAAGGGGATAGCTACTGTCATTCATTGGGGCGTTACCCTGGCCAAACTCTCCATTGTCCTTTGGCTGCATGGCTACTGGGGGAATAAGATTGGCAAGTCTCACACCATGCCCTGCAAGGTAACTGGACTCTATGGCTCTGATCCCTGTACCTGAGCACTGGTGTGCCTAATTCCTGCACCCTGAGGCACTGGAATAGTCCAGCCCAATGCCTAAGAGGTTGGAATTGATGACTACTACACCTCAAACAGGGGCTTCACAGTTACTCTGGGCAACTTTGCTGAGGCCACCTTTGATGCCATCTCCAAGACCTGTAGCTACTTGACACAAGACCTCGGGGAGAGATTGTGTTCACCAAGTCTTCCTACCAGGAATTCACTGACCATCTCATAAAGACCCATACTAGCGTCTCTGTGCAGAGCACCCAGGCTACAGCAATGTAGTGGTTTTTATTGAACAGAAAAAAATTTAATTAAGTCCATTATAAGCAAACAAACAAAAACCAAAGAAGCGTGGATATGAATGGACTGATGATAATGACAAATGATGGAGAAAGAAAATAGCTCTGTACCATCAAAAATAAGTGAGAGTCCATTTATAAAAGTAATGAAAGGGGAATAAAGCCGAGACATAATAATTTGTTATACAGTCCAATTGTGCCTATGATTGTTTTTAGAGAGGTAAAAGTCATAGGCAAAGACACATTTATTTCTAACTGGCTCACCGTAAGATTCCTAAAACTCTTTCGAGAAGTGATAAAGTATAAATGGACCATTTTTTAGCTCTCTGTTTGCTGTGTTGTGTCTTAATTTTCAGGTATTGCTATGTATTATGCAAAAGATGGATTTTTGCATTTTAAATTACATTGAATAAACTTATGAATATGCTTACAGTTATTTTACACCTTCATTCTAAAAATAAACATGGGATTCAAACTTAATTTAAAGTTTTGATTTGTTACTTTGATTTTGGAAAGGAATGTGTCTGGAGTTCTTAAGCAATAATAATGCTGATAGCTAAAGAAATATTTTTTTTTTAAAAAAGTATGATTTTGGAGAGTTACAGCAGGAGAGAATCCTGCACATTTGAAATATTTGAAAGAGAATTTTAACTTTTCAAAATATTCAGAGAAGGTAAAAAGTGATTCATCCTGTGTCATTCTCGGTCCTGGGAAAAATAGTGCTTTTGGAGTACTATGAGAGAGAATTCAATGGAGTATTATTTATACATATCTTACTAGGACTAGTAGGATGGGCAATTGCCTTCTATGCAATTTGTTACCTCTGAAAACCTACTGGAAGGTTAGCTATGGATTGATTGTTACTCATTGGTACACAACAACAAGAATTAGAGGTAGAGAAAGGTAGTGAAAAACCCTTTCAGTTATAGAAGTGAAAGAAAAAGGAAAAGTAGTTGTTATATGAGGATAAGAGAAAGCAAGCAGTTCTAGAAGACGTCACTATTCTGAATCCCATAAAATAGATCCTGTCAAAATCCTGAAGCTTATAGATGGTATGAACAATTAATCTGTTCAGCTGTTAAAGGGAATATGGGCAACTCAAGGTCACCTAGAGAACACCAAAGGAAGAGCCTGGTGACTGAGTTCCAGAAACCCAACAATTATAAACTCTGTGAAGCACTGTTCTCCCCTGACACGATGAGTCAGGTATGACTTCACCACAACTCTTTGTATTAGAAGCACATGGGGTAAGAATGGTGAATCTCTTATACTTTTTAAGAAGAATTTGTATTGTATTTAGTTATTCAGTAAGTTCCACATTGAGGTTTTCATTATTTTCAATTATTCATTTCATTGCTATTGTGATCTGGACAAATTATTTTTTCCTCTTTAATATCATGTAAATATTTTTTATTATATTAGCATATTTACAACATTCAAATACGTTGTTTTCCAGAACAGAGTCTTCCAATTTCCTTCACATCCCACACCCATCAAATTGTACAACTGCATGACTAAATCCTCCCACCCCACCCCCCACACACACACCCTCATCCCTCTAGTGAATCTCTTCTTGTGGAATTAAACTTCCTCTGAAAACCCATTGGAGGGTCAGCTATGGATCAGTTCAAACTTGAAGGTACACAACAACAAACCAAGTAGGAAGAATGAGTACACTGCAACATCCTTCATACTTCTAATATATCTTGCCATTACGTCCTTCCTTTAGATGAATACCACTAAAAGCCAGAGAATATCAAAACCTAGGCAGATGCTCTTCATAGTGTTTGAGCCTTCAAGTCCACAACAAGACATACACAGGATAGGTTATAAGTGAGGCATTCCGTTAGGCACAGGAAAGGAAAAGATAAAAATTCAGACAAAAAAAATATTTGTAATTATATTGGACATAAATTAATTATATGGACCAATCAAGAGAAAGAGTAGCAGAATGAATAATTAATAATTACTCACCAATTTACTGTTTGTTTTGTTTTGTTTTGTTTTTTACCAAAAACATGTATTGGAATGTAAAAATGAACATTTAAACTCATTACATTATTTTTTGAAATTTTATCTTAGAAAAATACTATGGGGAGACACTTCTTACTAAACTGACAGGCCACGTTCTCCCTTCCCCAGCTTCTCTGCATCCCATCGTCACTGGCTCACTGTCTTCTTCTGATGCTCTTTGCTGCGAAGGCGTCCTCATCCTGCTTTGGGTCTCCGGGGACCGGGCCTCGGGCAGCACCTCTCTTGGCCCCGCGCGTGGCTCTGGGCAGGGCTCTTCCATCACCCTGGTTTGAATGAATCTTCTCAGTAGGTTCCTCTGTGCCCTCCGGTTTCGTCTGGTTTTTAGAACTCAGCCTTGAGGATCGAGTTCCCAGCAAAGGGACTTTATCTTCTGAGACTTCCCTGGAGGGGTCACCAGTCTTATTCAAAGAGGTGTTCTTTGTGCTGGGCTCAGCCCCTCGCCTCCTGGAGGCGGTGCCCAGGATCTTCTCTGCACTGGGCTCAGGGTCAGCACTGTGTGTCCTGATGGCGATGACAGATTCTTTCTCCATGCTGCTATGGGGCGCAGCCCCTCACTTTCTGGTATTGAGCGGCATCTTGTCTGCAGTGGGCTCTGCATCAGATCCTGGTGCCATGCTGTTGGCTTCTGGTACCTTCTCAACACTGGGCTTAGGGTCAGTCCTTTGTCTCCTGGTGGTGGTGACCAATGTCTTCTCTGCACTGGGTTCGGGGTTGCCCCTTCGGGTCCTGACGGTGGTGATTGGCCCCGATTCTCCTCTGGGCTCTGGATCAGACCCTGGTGTCCTGATTGTGGGCACAGGCATCTCGTTTGTGCTAGGCTCTGGTCAGCCCTTCGTTTCCGGGTGGTGATGAGTGTCACCTTTTCTATGATGTTTTAAAGACACATACATTAAACAGGACAAAATAACCTGAAAAATCAAAAAATGGGGAAAATGTATATAAATCAAAAAGCAGTCAAAAGAGGAAGAATGTTAATTTGTTATAAAATGTACTCCAAAATAAAAGCCAGGTTAAGAAATACAGAACAATATTATGTAATGATTGAAAGGAGAATTAAGCAAGAGGATAAAAACTGTAGTTTGTATCTAATCCTCAGTGACATAGCTTTAACATATGTCAATCAAACTTTAGTAGAACTGAAAACAGAAATACACAATTAAACAGCAAAAGTATGAGACTTTAATATGTGACTTTTAATGACTGCAGAGTAACTAGAAAAACAATCAACAAAAACTCGTAAGTACTAACAATACTATTATTTTTTTGAGTTTTCAGAAATGAAGTATTTATTGATTGAAGCCAGCGTCAACTTTCATGGAATGAAAAAAAAAAGTAATTCCCACACCTGAGAGGAACCCTGGTGGCACAATTGTTAATGCTTAGCTCCTAACAAAAAGGCCACAGTTTGACCCTTCCAGCTGCTCCGTAGGAGAAATATGCAGCAATCTGCTTCTGGAAAGATTTACAGCCCTGAAAACTTTGTGGGGTGACATCACAGAGTCTCGGTGAGTTGGGATGGACCTGAGCACACTGGATTCTTTGGTTTCTCACATCCTACAGTTTTGTTTTTTTCTTTTTAATTTCAATTATCAATGATTTTATTTACCAACTTGTTCTCATACACATACATATATATATCAATCAACAAATGTATAATATATATTCTTCTAAAATTATAGATAAAAGAAAGTTGTTGTTGTTATGTGCCATCGATTCACCTGAGTCTCATAGCGATCCTATGTACAACAGTCCTAAACCCTGCTCTATCTTATGCCAATCTCACTGTCGTCTATTTGTGTTTCATTGCTTATGTGAAAGTGTTTGTGTAGATCACAAAAAAAACTGTGGCTAACTGAGAAGATTGGGAATCCCAGAACACTTGATCATGCTAATCAGAAACCTATACTTGGACCAAGAGGCAGTCATCAAAACAGAGCAAGGAAACACTGCACGGTTCAAAATTGGAAAGAGTGTATGCCAGAGATGTGTCCTATCTCCATACATTTTCAATCTATATGCAGAACAGACTACCCAGGAGAGGAGGCGCGGCTGTATGAGGAGAAATGTGGCATCAGGATTGAAGGAAGATTCATTAACAATCTGCGTTATGCAGATGACACAACCCTGCTTGCTGAAACTGAAGAGAAACTGAAGCCCTTGCTGAAGAAGGTCAAGGACTGCAGCCTTCAATATAGATTGAGGCTCAAAATCAAGAAAACAAAAGATTCTCATCACTAATCCAATTGGCAGCAACATGATAGATGGAGAAGATAAATGAAAGTTAGAAATAAAACAAATGAAATTAATATCTTTAAATACCCATAGGAAGCAGGAGTTGCCTCTGGAAGCTCTATGAACTTTGATAAATGACCATAGTCATAGAAAGGCTTTAGGCCTTTCATTCATAGGGTCGCTATGGCTATGAGTCATGCTCAACTTGATGGCAATCAACAACAACAAAAACATATACCTATATGAGAATGAAAACACCTTTGAGGCAGGGTAAAATTAATACATAAAAAAGCCAAAGGAAAGAATGACTTTAATACACTATGCTGTCTCCATCAAAAAGAGAAGCAAGCACACTGCAGTAGTGGTAAAGACAGCATGGTACTGGTACAATGACAGACACATAGATCAATGGAATTGAATTGAGAATCCAGAGATCAACCCATCTATCTATGGTCAACTGATCTTTGACAAGGAGATGAAATCAGGGAAGTGGGG